AAGTGTGGTGTCGGGCTACATGGTGGGCAGCAAAGGGCAGTCCATCAAAATTGGTTGTACTATACATACTATACGTCTTCACCAACCCACATTAACCAGAGTGGTGAAATGTGGATTTGAAGCTGTCGTGACTGCAAGGATCCATACTCTTTGGTTCTATTGGGTAAAGTCACGTAGGTAAAAAATAAACCAACAAAAATCACGACGTTTTGGCCACAACACAAGTGGCCTTCTTCAGGTGAAGGAACAGAACTGTCGGGACGACAGCACTTCAATTGAAATGTGGTCAAGTAACCACCATGATCTGTGTGGTCACGGGGAAGCTCTCGCAGAAGCTGACAAGCTTCCATCTTGGCAGTAATCATGTTGCCTCTTTTTTACTCTCAGCGTCTCTGCAGCGCTTGCCGCGCTCGCACTCCTCGCCCCATTCACCCCCACCCTCCCCCTCTCTGACTTATTTAACTGCCCTAACCCTGGTTTCTCTCCCACTTCAGTAAAACAGTTTCCTTGCTGTGGTTGTCACACCTGATGATGAGTGCTTGTGTTGCATTCGAAACGTCGTGATTTATTTCTATTTCTATTTTTTTTTCACCTACGTGACTTTACCGAAAGAACCAAAGAGTATAGCTGACAAGCTGTCAGGGCAAAAATGACTTTGCATATTCCAACTAATATTTTTTGCCCTGGTTTGTGTCTGACCATGCTGGGCACGGCTTTGTTAAAGTGTACGATATTCAATGGGGTAAAAGTCCCCTAATGGTAATACAACTTTATACCACAGGTGTACTCACACTGGAGCAGCGTCGACATTTATGAGAAAGCTTTACACATGAGTACCATGTGCGGTTCTTTACCGACATTCCCATCCCTGCACCTGCCTCCCCTGTCCCTAATGCAATGAACCCTCTACCCCCACATTACCTATGCAGAGCTCGTGGAGAGAATGAATGAGGAGGAGGGAGCGGAGGGGCATGAGGCTCAGCCTTCAACGGTGCCGCAAGACTTTTCGACGTCATCATTTCAATCTACCCTGGCCCAGGTACGATGCGGCACAACGTGGATTTGCACTGCCTATAAATTAGCTTGGCTAATGTCAAAGATGGGAGATTCCTGGTATTTACAGATTTAGTTGTTGTTTGCATTCGCCAACTAATGGGCCCCAAAGTGTAGACATGGCTGCTCCTCATTTATAGATTTGCAGCCTTTGCAGCAGTGCGTTTTGGTGACTATACTGTGCTGATGAGTCCGAATGAGGATTACACCGGTCCACAGTTGCATATCACTGCATAACTGCTGCTGTTAGTCTGTCACATTTGCTCAACTTTATTTTGATGGTGGTTTAAGATAGCATTACCACAATGCACTTTAGAAAATACTGATGTTTTTTGTATAATGCACAGGGGCTAGATGCTTTGTGTACACATTTCTCCAGGTCTCTGGTTTCCTCCCATAGCTAAATGACACAGTGTAACTGGTATTGGCCAAACGTACCAATGCTGAAAAAATACATGCAAATTATTCAATTGGAATTAAACTAAGCAACTTCGTTCTCGACTGCAAAAAAACAGAACTTGGTAGGACCCTCCTTGAAAATAAAAATGTAAACTCATTGAGGTTTTCCTGGGTAAACAAGTACATCATCATAGCAATAAACAACTTGCATACAAATAGCAGATTAACTTATGTCCTGATACATGTATCATGAGCTTATGAATAAATATACATTTCATGCATAAGCTATTACATCTCTCATATTCGTGTGTGTGCTTGCCTTTGCGTGTAGGACACTATCTACTTTTGCGATGGAGTCCGTCGGATCGATTTCATCCTCGCGTTCGATGATGAGGTCCATTCTCAGGACGCCATCAACAATCAGGTGAGAACGAGGAACCTACAAATAATGCTCCACCTTCCTGCACCCAGCATTATCACCCCTCCCCACGTGCAACACCACACGCCTCTAAACCTAGGTTTGACGCAGTGGTGCCAGCTCAGCTCTCTGACTGCTGAGTCACCCTGCCACCTCCATACGAGTCTTTAAATCCACAGTATACATCCTTTATCAAACTGTATCGTCAACTGCAGACCACGCTAGTCAATGAACGCTAGACTCCCATCACTCAACTCGCACATCCATACCCTGAACCATACGCCTCACTGCTTTGGCGAACAACAATCAATTATCGTTACGTATCACACTCCATCCACAACTCCTCAATAAATACACCACTTTCATATTGCACACACCGACACCCAGACATAACTTACAGGATATATGTAATATCCACATTCTAACTGCCAAATGGAAAACTATTATAACAGTGCTGAAGTACCCAGTATGCATTCTCTGCAATATTGATGTTTTTGTTTATTTTGTTGCTATTGTACCCACGCACAATGGATCTATCTCCCTTGTAAAATAGCAAAGCAACTAGCTAAGTGAGACCATCCCTGTAACAAATAAGGTAAACTCAAAGAGTTGATTGACAAAGAGCTGTGCAAATTTTTATTTTATTAAGGTCTGCTGAAGTGACACCGACTGAAGCAGTTCAGTGATGCTACTTTGCAGAGCCGTTCTCTGATTGATTCCCATGTGAGGCTCTACTCACTGTAAGAGTTCAAGAAGTTTCCTCACCTCTTGACTTGACTCCCACAGTGACACAACTGAGAACAATGTATAACACAGATGGTCAATTTTGTTTGACAGAAGAAGAGGACCGAATATCAGGCAAGCCTGATGAAGATGGGGCTAGATCTCGAGATTGAACCCAAGGAGGTAAGTTTCCTGCGTGTCTCTCTGCTATAGATGACAGACACTGTATACAAATAAAAAGGTGTTAGACTGTGATTGCTTCATAATTTCACTGCTGGCATACATTCCTTGAGTAGGAGCGCTAAAGATCCCCGCTGGAGGGTATATGGCCTACTCTTCTCTGCTTGCCAGACGTCTTGAAAGAGATAGCGAATACCCATACTTTACCCCACCATGCACAATCTTAAGATGGATTAATTGTGGCTTACCCATTTATACTGGAGGGTATAACAGTCTCCACCTTAATGTGGCATGCCAGCTATTTATACTGTAGTAATAAGTGTTCGATAACTGCACGTACGTTATGCAATTTGCTTTTGGGTTGTGCCACACGTTGATCGGCACGAGGTGCTAACAACACGTGACACAAGCACGAAAATCCACGCGGCCGTGGACACTCTTCCAAATGAGACCATCCTGTTCCCTTGAACTCTCACCTGGTCAAACAAAGTCTAATAAATACAACTAAATGCACTCATCTAGAGTCTGACGATGAACTTCGTGCCATCCACTAGGAGTCGGTGAGCGGACGCACCACCTTTGTGAAAGTACACGCGCCATGGAACCCACTCACCACCTATGCCGAGATTCTACACATCCAGGCAAGATTCTGATGGTCATTGTAATGATGATCATGATGATGCCGATGATTGTGATGATGATTGTGGTGATGATTGTGATTATGATGGTGATAATGAATGTGATGACAATAATGTTTGTGAAGATTCATCATGGTTGTGATGATAATTGCGATGATCATGCATGTGATACAGAGTATGATGGTGAGGGTGATGATTGTGATGATTATAATTTATGACGTTCAACGATAATAATCGTAGCACTGACATTACGAGATATCGAGAGACGTAAATATACAAACGGATTAGAAAAACGTACATTTGGAAAAATATGCATATTAGCAACATATTGACTCTTTTTAGAAAAGTGAATGGGCTCGGGAAGGGCACGTTGCTTGAAGGGATGATGTCTGCTGGCCGAAAATGACATTGGAGTGGCAGCAGAAGGAGAGAACGTGCCCAAGATGATGTATATCATAGAGATGGCGAGATAAGATTGGCTCATGTGCGTGTGCTCATGACTGGGGATATTGGTGGGACAACTTGAAGAGTGGGTGGGATATGCAGTGGAGGCTTTTGGCATATTAATTGTTGCATTATAGGACTTGTTGTATTATAGGACTTGTTGTATTATAGGACTTGTATTATAGGATTTGTATTGAATGTTGTATTATAGAACTTGTTGTATTATAGGACTTGTTGTATTATAGGACTTGTTGTATTATAGGACTTGTTGTATTATAGGACTTGTTGTATTATAGGACTTGTTGTATTATAGGACCTGTTGTATTATAGGACTTGTATTATTATAGGACTTGTTGTATTATAGGACTTGTTGTATTATAGGACTTGTTGTATTATAGGACTTGTATTATTATAGGACTTGTTGTATTGTTGGACTTGTATTATAGGACTTGTTGTATTATAGGACTTGTTGTATTATAGGAATTGTTGTATTATAGGACTTGTATTAGAGGACTTGTTGTATTATAGGACTTGTTGTATTATAGGACTTGTATAGAACGTTGTATTATAGGACTTGTTGTATTATAGGATTTGTTGTATTATAGGACTTGTTGTATTAAAGGACTTGTTGTACTATCGGACTTGTTGTATTATAGGACTTGTATAGATTGCAACAACTTGGGGAGACCTTCATCCATTCGTGGACTGATTTTGGCTGATGATGATTCCATGTGCTCGAGGCAAAGGGTTTAATACATTTAAAATCAAACAGGTGCCACTCAAGGAGAGCGACCTCCCCCAGGTGTCAGGCTCAGACAGTGGGCCTCTTCACTACCTGGGAAATATTCACCACCTGAAGCCGGGAGCCGTGCCCAAACAACCGGACTATTTCACGGCACCCTACCGGCGTTCGCAGCAGGACATCTATCCTATAAAGGATCATGACGTCCTCATCCCACCGGCCGTACGCAGCCAAATCGTACGTTTGTATCAATAATGCTGTATAAATAATGCCAGAATGGGGTGGTTTTTTTGCAAAAACATGTTAATTTAAAAGGGTTTTGTCGTGTTTTTATCATTTTAATTAAAGTTTTCAGCTCTGTATCGCAACTTGCGATCTCTGAGTGACATGTGGTTAGAAGTGTAAATCATTATGGTTTATTAAGAATGCCTGGATTTATGATTTATGGGTTGTGGTAATATGTGTCCCTGTAGAGAAAGCTACCAAATTTTTGGGATGCTTAACCAGGAGACATGGTGAGCTAGCAGCCCCACCCTTTGTAAGTCCTGCCCACATTATATAACCACGTCCCCTCAATCACTCTCCCCTGCACAACAAAAGAATGAAAGACTACTGTTGATATGGTTCTTGGTGAGCAGGTATCCTGTCGAGCCAATATTGTGGGCATTTGGGGTTTTGATAGTATTGTATTCTGAATAAATTGCCTTTGTGCATGGAAAGCATGCATAAAATGTCTCCTTGAAATCTGGATATTGTACTTGCTGAAATCGGTACATATCTGCTTCAGTTTTTGGGGTGTTCTATGGACCTTTCCGAGTCGGGACTCAATAAGAGTTGTGGGCCCATTATAACTGTGTAGGCTGGTGGTGGTTGGAGAGGGGGAAACATTTCAGAGTGGAGTGAGTCAATAATAGCTTACCCACCCAGCCCTATGTTTCATGCATGTTATGTTTGTCATGTGTGTCATGTGTGCTCACACAGGTCCACTACATGCTGCAAAACCCCATGCCACAAGACAGCACGAACATATTAAATATCAACCAAATGATTGAAAATGGCTGCTATACTGCAGCCTATCCACTGCATGACGTAAGTTGTTGGGGGGGTAGGGGGTGGAGGGCACACTGACACCCTACGGGAGGCCCAGGTACGACACCTGAATTGCACACCTGTATAGGACGCTATAGCATAGTCTAAAGCTTACCACATACTTAACATTAGTGTCCCACAGAGATGCGCCGCATAGGTGTCCAGGTTCCCCAGCTCACTAAACACACCTCTGATTTGCATGGTTGGCTACATACGGTGCAAAAGAAGTTCAATATCCATGCATTGGAAAGGACTCCACGAGCACTCTAGAGAGCCATTCTCAAGGGTATTTGGCCGACTATTTCACGTGGGACAGAAGTCTTTGGAAGAATTAGAAGTACCCACACTTCATCCCACAACACGTGAACAACCAATAGATTAACTGTGGGTGCACCCATTTACACTGCTTGCTGGGAAGAAGCAGCGTGATTAAGAAACGTGGTCATTGTTTTAACTGTCGTTCCCATGAAATCAAATGGGCGACCTCTAACTTTGCAAGTCCAGTGCAGTGTGCAACACCATTACACCACAGCAGCGCCACGGCAGAGTTTTGGGGGGGTGGAGCTGGTAATTTGTGAATGTCCATGCAGTGTTTGTGACTAACAATTGCTTTCCCCATGTCAGAGTGAGTCTGTTCATCCCACCAAAAACCCGAACACGCTGGGCGACCGCAACACGCTGCGACGGGAGTGGGCGAGAGCCGGGCGCTCTTTCAAGGAGCAGCCTCTTGACCTTGTGCGGTAAGTTCATGCCCTATCCACTGCTGGATGAAGACTTCCCCAAGCCTTCGCCATCTCTCCCAGTCTCCTGATGCAACGATCCATGTGGCTCCTGCACACATGCTGATTTCATTACTTAAATCTCTGTGGTGCACATCCTCTCAGACGCATTCCTTCTCTTGACTGCCACATCATTCTTAGTCTCGACCACAGGCCATCGTACCTCTTAGGGACGTGCCCTGTCCAGAAAGGTCCTAAGGCTGGACTTGAATGCTAGCTGGGAGTTGATAGCACAGACGGCTGGGGAAATGGAGTTCCAGAATAGCATTTGCCCATGCCTTCCCTGCTCTTCACATTTCCCTCCAGCCCATGGTCCTTGCTTACATATTCGATAGCTACACCACTGGTGCCATGTGCGGTTGGTGATGTTTGCGCTGTGTGTGCGAGTGATGTTGTCGGCACAGGTCATACTTCGGGGAGCAAGTGGGGCTCTATTTTGCATGGCTCGGCTTCTACACAAAGATGCTGATCTTCGCTGCAATCGTCGGCCTGATCTCCTTTTTCTTTGGAGTATTCAGCAATGACCGTGACATCACTAGGTACTGGCCCGACACATGCATACAGACAAATGCATACAAACACACACACACATACACTCATGTGTCAGATGTAGAACTCACACAGATCTCCTGTATAGCAATACAGACTGAACAATGAGTATCAGCAAGCACCTACTAAGGCTATACACAAGTACATATACACGTAAAGTACATATAGACATACATATACACTTATATACAATCCCATGGGATGCTGCCATGGCGTAATAGTTACATTTCTAGAATTGCAGTTTATAGATTTCCAGTGCGATCGCCTGGCATGGCAGCTGAAATAATGGCTAGGTTTCTTCAGTTATCCCACATATGCTCAGCAGTATAAACGGAGACACCGCAGTTAGATGATTGGCAGTTCAGATGTGATGGGGTAAAATGTGGGTACTCCCACCGTGTCCAAGACGTCTGGCCATCATGGACGAGTAGGCCAAATATCATCTCGAGGGGCAATCTAGAGCATTCTTTAGTGGAGGACCTTCCACCAGCAGTGGCATGAGCAAGCAATTTCAGGGCCACATCTTTAACATTTCACTATTAAAGTACATATGCACATATATACAATCTCATACAGTTTATATACATATACAGTACAAATATAGTACATTCAATATATTGTATATGTATATATGTTCCAAATGTCTCTGTTTCTAAAAGTAAATCCAAAAAATCAAGCCTAGCTACAATATTTCGGACAATCCAGGGAAAATTAAACATTGTTTTGGATTGCTCAGAAAACATGACATCGCCCATTGTGACGTCACTCACGACGACACGTATCACGTGGCATCGGGTTTCGTCACTCTTGTTCACATGAATATATTGTACATTCTTACGAATTGTAAATAATCCGAAAATCAAAAGCAAAAAATATTCAAATCCAAAATGTTTAAATGTGAAACGTATCCTTATAATACGACTTACACACATAGACTCTTTGGAGCTGCATGACGGACAGCGGGGAGCAAGTGCAGGAAATACATTGCTGTACTCTGTGTCTGGAGTCTTCGCTTCCCATATTCAACCCGTACTGACCAGTGTGGGATGACTAGAATTAAATAGCCCTCATGACCCACGAGGTGTGGGGAGGCCCTCAGCCAGAAGTCGATTGATAAAAGGGCTGTAAACACCCCTGGAAATCAATACATAGAGATGTTACACCACTGATATCAACGAAAATTATAATTAAACATCAGCAAATACCTTCTTTGGTTCTTTCGGTAAAGTCATGTAGAATGAGAATAAAATAATAAATTGATAAAATAAAATAACACAATAATATTCTCACGACGTTTCGGCCACAACACAAGCGGCCTTCATCAGGTGAAGGGACGAGACTGTCTGGTAGGACAGCGCTGGAGTGAAAGAGCCACGTTCAGATCACGGCCTTTAAGCTGTGTGAGAGGAACAAAGCGCCTTGACAAAGGAATTAGCATATAATTTAGCATTGAAATGGCTGAATGATTAGCTTGTGACTGGTCACAGAAATAGCTATGTTAAAAGTTAAAGCATACACATCCGCAGAGGCACCCCTTGATAAAGGAATTAGCATAGAATTTAGCATTGAAATAGCTAAGTTAAAGCATACACATCCGCAGAGGCACCCCTTGACAATGGAATTAGCATAGAATTTAGCATTGAAATAGCTGAGTGATTAGCTTGTAACTGCTCACAGAAATAGCTACGTTAAAGTCAGAGCATACACATTCACCGAGGCACTTAGTACAAATCAAACAGGAGAATTTAGCATTGAAATAACTAGGCGAATTTAGCATTGAAATAACTGAGTGATTAGCTAGTGACTGATCACAGAAATGACTATGTTGAAGTCAAGGCCTACACATCTGAGCTATTCACAGTACTATATAGTGAACCAATAAGAAAACGTGCCAGTTTGTAGGTGGGGGAGTTGATAGTAGCTGCCATCGTTGAGAACTACTCAACGATGGCAGCTATACAAAAATAAAAAGAGATCCCACCAACAGCCTGGTCACCAAAACGAACAAAATCATCTCTGATTCAACAGCATTAATTGATGAGATCAAACAGTTCTCGTTGAAACCCTCTGCTGCCAGACCACCAAGATTATATGGCCTTCCAAAGATACACAAAGAAGATACACCCCTTCGTCCCATCGTCTCTACTATCAACTCCCCCACCTACAAACTGGCACGTTTTCTTGCTGATATACTGCGACCTTTCACTGGAAAAACCACCTCTGCGGTACTAAATTCTACTCACCTGGTATCGACAATCAAAGGCATTTCCCTGTCCCCAAACGACCTGCTTGTCAGTTTTGATGTGGTGTCCTTGTTCACCAAAGTCCCGGTACCTGACACCATCGCTATCATTGAAGACCTGGTTCATCAAGGACTGCATACTGATGTACCCCCCCTGGTGAGACATTGCTTAACCAACACATACTTCACCTGGAATGGAACTTTCTACAAACAAACTGAGGGCACCCCAATGGGCTCCCCCCTATCTCCGGTTGTAGCCAACGTATTCATGGAAAAATTTGAAACTGACGCCATCCAGACTGCCACTCTACGCCCGACCTTATGGAAGAGGTACGTTGATGACACCTTTGTCATCTGGCCACATGGCCAGCCTGCTCTAGACCAATTCCGCGACCACATCAATTCCATACACCCAGCAATCAGATTTACCATGGAGGTCGAAAAAGATGGCAAACTACCCTTTTTGGATGTCTTAATTAAAAGGAGACATGATGGTTCAATGAGCCACTCTGTCTACAGGAAAGCTACCCATACAGATGCTTACTTGAAACCGGATTCCCACCACCATCCATTCCAGAAGAACTCCCTCATCAAGACTCTATACCATAGAGCCCAATGCATTTCCGACCAGGAACACATTACCAGTGAACTCAAGCACGTACACCAGGCTCTCAGGGCTAATGGCTACTCCGACTACACAATCCGCAAAGCCATCACTCCAGTCATGAAGAAGGATCCTCTTGTGGAGCCACTCAAAACCATCACCTTACCCTACATTGCAGGGGTCACTAAAAAGATCTCCAAAATCCTGAATAAACACAAGATCCAGGTCCGATTCAACACAGTACATAAAATCCGTGATTTAGTTCCATCTGTAAAAGATGCTGTTCCAGACATACAATACCCGGGCGTTTACAAACTAAAGTGCCTCTGTGGTAGTAGCTACATTGGAGAAACCAAAAGACATATCTCGGACCGCATCCGCGAACATAAAGCAGACTTGAAACACGGTAGGACGAACTCCTCTGCCGTGGCAGATCACTGTTATAATTCAGTGGGCTCACATGACATTGACTTCTCCAAGACGGAGGTTCTTTGCAAACCAACCGGCTACCATGAGAGATTCGTTCATGAGGCCATTCACATATACAAGCACAGAGACAATTTCAACCGAGAAGATGGATTCTGGCTTAGTAACCACTGGAAAGATGTTTTAAACCATTTCTGTTCTTAATTAATTGTATTTTTACGATGACCTTCAGACCGCAGCTCTTTCGCCAGCATTGACTCTTAATACCTCTCACACCACGGTTAATGGTATGGTTTTACAACATGGAGTATAATAGCGCCTCGCAGCTGTCTCTCTCCCCCTCCTCTGTTCCGACCATGGACGAACTCGTCCGTCTGAACGGGGCCCGTAGCTATCCGTGGTGCTAAAGTTGAGGGTAAGAATCCACCCATTTTTTCGCCATATAGCATTGTGATATATAACGACTTATTGTTGGTAGCTTAGCTGATTGGAGAATATAGAGTTTATTGATAACATTAAGGTAATTTATATTTTAGTTTTTTATTGGTTCACTATATAGTACTGTGAATAGCTCAGATGTGTAGGCCTTGACTTCAACATAGTCATTTCTGTGACCAGTCACTAGCTAATCACTCAGTTATTTCAATGCTAAATTCACCTAGTTATTTCAATGCTAAATTCTCCTGTTTGATTTGTACTAAGTGCCTCGGTGAATGTGTATGCTCTGACTTTAACGTAGCTATTTCTGTGAGCAGTTACAAGCTAATCACTCAACTATTTCAATGCTAAATTCTATGCTAATTCCATTGTCAAGGGGTGCCTCTGCGGATGTGTATGCTTTAACTTAGCTATTTCAATGCTAAATTCTATGCTAATTCCTTTATCAAGGGGTGCCTCTGCGGATGTGTATGCTTTAACTTTTAACATAGCTATTTCTGTGACCAGTCACAAGCTAATCATTCAGCCATTTCAATGCTAAATTATATGCTAATTCCTTTGTCAAGGCGCTTTGTTCCTCTCACACAGCTTAAAGGCCGTGATCTGAACGTGGCTCTTTCACTCCAGCGCTGTCCTACCAGACAGTCTCGTCCCTTCACCTGATGAAGGCCGCTTGTGTTGTGGCCGAAACGTCGTGAGAATATTATTGTGTTATTTTATTTTATCAATTTATTATTTTATTCTCATTCTACGTGACTTTACCGAAAGAACCAAAGAAGATGAATCATTGCAGTCACGAAAGCTTTAAATCGAAATCAGCAAATACATTTTACTTTGGAAAATGCTTGATGTTGGAACCCATAATTTAGTCTGACTTTGTTTAAAGGGAGGGTATGACACATTCAAAGGTGGCATGACCTTTAGGCAAATTATATTTCTCATCCAAGTGTACTATGCCCATTAGTGTGTTTATGTTCGTGCGTGTCTATGTGTGCAGTGGAGAAATATGCAACAACACCATCGGAGGATCCCTGGTCATGTGTCCCCAGTGTGACCAAAAATGCACCTTTTGGAGGCTAAATGATACCTGCGAGACTGCGAAGGTATCACACAAATACACCATCGATGTTCCCTCTAAATAAGGATACTTATTGGTTTTTGGTGCTGTGCATCATTATCACAAAGCCAACTCACGTTGCTGAGATTGTATCATTAACATTAACCATGATCACTAGATTGCAGCACATCATGCTAAACACTATGCTGCCATTCGTGTGGGTGTTAAAAATTTTTATACTAATAATACACGTGTGATCATTTTTAAGGTAGTTAGTTATAGTTTTAGCAAATAGGGCATTTTAATGGACTAAGTCGATGGTTAGACAAATACATGAAAATGAATGCATCGTCACATCCCAGCGGGAGTGCAAAAGTGACTTTGTCTGAGTAAATCCGACACGATGTATTTCATGAGTATTTCTCCACGATCAATACAAGTGGACAAAGTATTTTGAAATCTGAATTTCAGTGCTAATTAGTTGACATGTCATGCCGAAATAATGATTATTCACTTTAAAGTGTCAGAAATGTATGTCCACAATCATGGAACTGCCCTATTGCTTATTTTGCTCTTTCTGTCACATTTATACAGATTTGTTTGATACATGAATAGCGCTATAATATCAGACATTGTAGAGCATTGTCATCTCCACAATTTAATGGATGTTTCATGAGTGATTAATCTATTTTAACTTAAAAATCAATCGATGCATCATTACTTTCCTGCTGTTGATATTGAAAAGACGTGGATGCTAAGATTTAAGGTTTAATTGTGACTAACACCTCTGATTGTGCCGTTGCAGACTTCACACATGTATGAAAATCCGGTCACCATATTCTTCGCAGTTTTCATGGGACTTTGGGGTAAGTGATGCTAAGCATTGGCACACATTGTCCAGACACAGTGACAAGTATCAACATGTTTGCAATGATGATGAGCACATTTGGCCACATACAGTGTTAAAGAAGTTCAACATACATACGTACAACCATATACAGTACCATCATGTCTTGCAATGTTCGTATGCAGTGATCCTGACAGTCCTATTATGAACCCACTGCTCAATGAGGGCAAATTTGGACCATGACTTGCACACATTGTCCTACTCTTACGAATGATAACCGATAATCTTTAATGTCCACTGTGAAGCAGATGGTGTGTATTTTTGTGTAATTAATACACGGGCAATATTAATCAGGGCAGCCACATAATTTGAACCACGAACCTCTGCAACAAGCAACGAATGCGGTACCCCAAGGCGATTCCATGAAAAATGCAAAGTGGCCAGGTGGCTCAGAGTTCAGAGTGCTGCGTTGCCGCCGCTGAGATTCTGTGTTGAAATGAAAGTGGCCACCTGCGATTAAACCAGTTTCTCAATTATAGCAAGATGATGGTCTCAACTCAGTCACCGATATCTGCACAACAAATACAAAAAATCCATAATGTTAAAGTTGGTTCTGTACTTAATTAGGCTACATTCCAGCTCTGAGAATAAAAATGTTAGCTTGACTATCACGTAACAAACGCTCCTCTCCGTGGCAAAGCATTTGGGAAAGAGCTACCCATACTGTGTGGACCAGAGATCACAGAGGTAGCTCTGTGACATTCACTTTTGTGTAACGTTTTGTAACACGAAGAGCAGCACTGCTCTGTTATAGATCCAAAGGAAAACTCAATCTCATGCCATGCCACTCAGTGCAAGTGGGATAAAATTGTGGCAATGTACCAAAAAAAGCCAATAAAGGTATTTATGAAAGAAAAAAAAGTACTAATGAAGTTACTTTGAACATTACATTTAACAGACTACATTAGGTAACCTTTGAACCCTTGAGCAATCGATAGTGAAATTACTTTTCTAAGTAAATCCTCCCCGTGTGGTGTGTCGCAACAGCCACGGTGTTCCTGGAATTTTGGAAGCGTCGCCAGGCATCGCTCGCATACCGCTGGGACTTGACGGCAGCGGCGGAGGAAGGAGACCCCATCCGGCCCGAGTACCTGGCTCGCTGCACGACCACGAAATGTAACATCATCACCATGGTAATGCTTTTTGCTGTCACCACGGCGACTACCTCATTGCACACACACACCTCTGTTTTGTAATGTTGCATGTGTAACTGTTCACTGTTTTCCTAGTTTTTCTTCTAACATATTTGTTGGCCTTTGGTCAATTGTGTTTTCCTCCCAATATTATCCCGATTGTCCTATCGGCATCGTTATGAAACAATGTCCATTTGGAACTCTATGTTATGGAAAGGTTTGCTGAAGCAGATGTTACATAATTACTTATAAGATCCCTTCAAGTGAACACACACTAGAGGGTGGCCCTTTCGCATCAGCCCTGCTACAAAGAAATGTTCATGATGGTCAAACTCATCTTTTTTAATTCTGAAAGGTGAAATTTGTCCAAATTAAGAAAAGAAACAAATGTAATATTGGTGACCAGGCTGATCGGCTTACTACTTGGTTTTATTGGAGGCAGCTGCCTGGATTAAAACCAAGAAATATCAGCGCTGCCAGCTCAACTCTCAGACATCAGGACCATCAAATCCATTCCTTTATATCATCGCATGCTTAACTAGTAGTGGGGAAAACAAATAATAGTTCATCAGTCAACCTTAACGGCTCACACTAACATTGGTCACTCCGACAGACTAATCTATATACAAATGCTTTTCCGTCTGTGTCCGTGCATTGTGAGTGCAGAAGGAGGAGCCTCATATGCCTAAGAGGATACTGAGGTTCCGATACTGCCTCTCCGGGATCATGGTGTTGTTCTGGGTGAGTCCGCCAACTCAACAGCAACATTGAACCCCTTCTCCTGATCCAGTGAGCTATGGCCAAGTCACCTGCTATGTGCCTCATCTTGGAGGCGAAGCAGGTTTTGAGCCTGGGTACTGCACGAATGGGTAACCATCATGCACAAAATGGACTGTAGGCTGCTGCAGAGCTACCTTGTGGCCAACAGAGAACTGCATTCTTTTGCTTCCATCCTTTACCAACCTGTACTGGTGTGCATGGTGAAGTATGGGAAAATAACCCTGACAATCCTGCACAGGTTTGGGAGGCCATCATCCAGCAGTGGATTCATATACGGGTTATACACATATATATATTTTTACTTGACCCAATCCTAACCTCCACACTCTGCTCCACCAGTCAGAATCGCTCTCAAACTATGTTGTTCCTCCTGTGTGATCCATTGAGTGATTACAAGTGGGGGTATAGATACATGCATAATTATATAACTTACAGCCCTTTGTCAATCCAATCACCTGAAATATCTACAGGTGGCCCAAGGCAATGAATACATCATGAGCCGTATCATGTTATCCACCTGCTCCTGTCAACCTCGATTTGGGTTTCTCGAGACTAGTCCTCGGCCTTAAGGCCAGATGGAAAAGATTTCCTCAGCTCCTTGGCCTTGAGTGTGTGGCCTCAGTCCGAGGAGTTTTACTAGAGGTACCGACCTTGACACTGGCCTCATACTAGCGCACCCAACCTTGAGTGACCTTGACACTGATTGTGGCCTAAAAAGCTGCCGCCTTGGCCTCACCTTGGCCCTGTGGCTTTTGGTCTCAACTTCACATCTGAACGTGGCTCGAGGTCAAGCAGGGCCAGGGATAGTAATTCCTTTCATAACCTTGCATCATTTTCTACAATTGACCACGTGACGTTACCATTACACGTTCATTGTGTGTGATGTTAGCGAAACAGCTCAGGTTTTGTTTAACATGTAGGCTTTTCGCGACCAATATCATCCATAATATTTTTTTTGGATTAGATCGCGTAAATATGTGTCATTAAACCCACCACCACCCGACAAAGCCAATTAGTAAAGTTGTTCACGTAAACAGAACATGCCAATTCGTTACTAGTATAGCAAATTCACAATATCTACAATCTGAGTACGACATTTTGCCAGTCATTTGGTTCTGCTGTAGACAAACGAACTGGCACCTCCTGAGCCACACCAGGCTAGCTCGGCACAGCTAACTCACGGCTTGGTTATATAGTGGAAAAGAGCTACAAGACTGTCAATCTCACCCACCTGTGTGTTTCTTGTGTTACTGGCAGATCCTCCTGATTCTTGCTGCAATTTTGGGTGTGGTTGTTTACCGCCTGTCCATCTTTGGCATACTCTCCTCGAGTATCCCCAATCATGTGACCAAGATCAAGGTGATCGGTGCCCTACTCACACCTGATATGGTTACCACCATCACGGCCTCCATCCTCAACATCGTAATCATATTACTACTCAACAAAGGTTACGACAAGCTGGCCCTCGTCCTCACTGATCTGGGTAGGTGTCATCACCATCACGGTTTGCATATGTTTATTTTATTATACGCCACAAGAGAACACATGTAAATTTGAAGCTTGGATAAATGTTGTGCATGGTAAATAATGTCGCTGTAAAAATGTCATCATGATTTTAACCTTGCACCATGGGGCCATGAATAGCAGCATCAGTGCATCATCCAGTCACTTGTTCAACTACTGCCTGTTTTTGTCAGAACTCTCTTAAATTTTTCCTCCAGTTTCATTCCGATTGGGCTATCAGAATCGTGTCTTGAGATGAAGTATCCAATGGGATCTCTTGTAGACCAGTGCAACCCTTAATGTCATGAAATGGCCCTAGAAGTGAATATCACTGAGCTACCTCTGAGACCCTTCATTCAAGTGAACTCTGGTTCACACATTAGGGGGAAGCACTTTTCAATCCACACTACTACGGAATATAATGTTAATCTCGTAACAGTCAAATTGCTCATTCTCACAACTAGAATTTCACCAAATTAAGTGATGAACCAAATGGTGTATGTTACAAATGTATATGCCATCATTAGTAACCGTCCTGAAGCCATCAATTCACTGCACTTGAGAACACATGTTACCAGAGGCCGCTGCCTGGATTTAAACCCAGGATCTCAATGGTGCCAACTTAGCACTCTGATTTCACCTCTCGATCCATTGAATCACTGAATGTAATTGTGGGCTGACCCTCACTGCTGCATTGCTACCTTCTAGTCAGCTGTCAGCTATCTGCTTGTGTTGCTCATGTTGCCAGCTACTGAGCCCTTTATTAGTAATTTATCCTGCTGAAGCCTGCACCCCCTCTGAAAGGTGACCCATGATAATTACTAAGATACACCTTATAGATATTTGAGAATCAAGTGCACTGGCTTTCAGACATCATACGGACAGTGTAAATGGCTTAATTGCAAATGGAGACTGAAGGACACTCCACAGGGCGAATGTGGTGAACAACACCTGGTAAACAACTTGTGCACTGTCACTCATTCCCCAGCAACATCTTTGAAATTAACTTTTGATCTTCAAATTCATTTTAATGGATATCAAAGCACGTTACATTGTGAAATGTTGCTATTCCTCAATGCGGCATCATTATCAGTGGCTTCTCGTAGCCTGTGTGCCAGAAACTATGAAAGTAACATCAAAACTGATTGCCCTGTTTGATGTCTGTGTCCATGTGTGCCTTTGTATCACACCCACAGAGATGCCCAAGACGCAAGGAGAATATGAGTATCGGCTGACGTTCAAGAAATTCTTATTTCAGTTCGTCAACTTCTACTCGGCGTCTTTCTACATTGCATTTTTCAAGGGGAAATTCATCGGCTTCCCCGGAAGCTACACTTACTTTGGAAAATGGAGAATCGAGGAGGTGTGTAGATCTGAGGGGTTGGCCCCTCTGTTTTCTATGCTGTTTGTACAACATTTTTATGTTTTACTTTTGTAGTTGATATTTTTCCCAACAATTGTCTTCACACCGTGCTGTTGGTGAAATGTCGAAATAAGGACTCTTTCTTTTGGAACTCTAAAAGGCCTCATTGTCTTCACACCTGGTCACCAGCTCTAGCATTAACACAGTCTCCGGAGTAAAACAGTTTTCGAAACCAGACTTGAGAGAGCACGAGGTCACCACGAGCAGAACACGTGTTAGACTGATGCAATTGGTAACCCAGTTAACTTGAGGGTGTTAGTTTATCACATATTTTGCAAGTAGTACCCTTGTGGTCTCTCATTGGACATTTTCAATATATACCGTATTTATCAAACGCCATTTATTTAAAATTATATATTTGATCATCCTTAAAAATGTACAGTATTTCAGCCCCCCTCAAGGATATGTTTAGCCACTACCTATGACTCACTGTGGCGCAGTGGAGCACGTTGTGTTAGAGAACGGCCCCGTAATATGATATCAAGAACGAATTCTGGAGTAAGGAATTAAGCAGCATTGCGTTGTGCACACGTTAAATCAATGTCATTAAGACAGTGTTAATGACACGTAGTTTAACATTTACATAATTGCCATTCAGAGTCACCCTGAGTATTTGCAGTCACTCTATGCTCGGAAGAAAGTCCATTGCCCAAAATGTGCACCTGTTGCTCATGTTTCTGTTTGAAGGCAGACTTGTTGACACATGAGATGATTATAATGAGTACATTTGGTGTTATATTAAGGTGCTTACTTCTCCTGCTGCAGATTTGTAGGAAATCGTCACGAGGGCGATTCATTGATTGATATCCTCTCAAAAACAATACACATAAAGGATAAAGAATACAGCTTATTATTTAAGTGCCTCTGTGTTTTCTACCAACTTAATTTCATGTTTTACGATTATTATATTTACTAGACGATGCTCTTGCAATTAAACTCACCTGATACTAAACACCAACTGCAGTATGCATGTTGTGTGTTGAACTTATTTTGCACCGTACACAGCCTGCATCGGATGTGTGGGGGAAGGACAACAAACAAAACATTATCAGATGCGCCACCATTTTCTTTATTTAAAATACATGAGGGGGAGGGGGAAAGTGTTTCTTATAATCTGGAGAATATTGATATTCTTAATCACTGTCCCCTCTAACATATGGAGCCGTCAGTTTTGCAGTGTGCAATTGACTGAAGAGAAGAATGTGAGAGGATCATTAGAAATGATGTGTGGTATCCATATATGTATTACCCAATATTTCATATCTTCAGTGTTTAACCTGAATCTATTCTCCACCTCATCCCCCCTCCAGTGTCCCCCAAACGGCTGTCTCTTTGAACTGACTTCTCAACTCACTGTCATCATGGTAGTGAAGCAGATGGTTGGCAATTTTCAGGAGGTCATCATCCCGTAAGTATCGCATGAACACATGATAGCTGTGAAGTCTGATTACGGCGTTTCCTCGTGTAACGCGGTAGATGCGTTCCTGAAAATTTCCGCGTGAAGTAAAAACGCGCAAAGCAAGGAATTACTGAGTTAATCACATTTTCACAGTACATTCAACCTGCAGTCATCCCATGGTGGGATAAATAACTCAGGCTAGGCTGCCGTGTTACTGTATCATTCGGCATCCTTTATCAAACTGCTCAGCCGCGCAACTCAAGACAGTCGTTCATCGTCGACTGCTCAGGAAAGCATTATAATGGCCGCGTTCGGCGTTTTAACAGTGTGCATTCCACATTATAATGGACACGTTCCACGTTGTGTGAAAAGTTTTCCCAAATATAAGAACCATGTTACAATGAAAATGTGTTGTGTGAAAACGCATTCAGCGAAAAGTCGTGTCGACAGCTTGTTAGCAGTGTGCACTGGTTAAGCAGTGAACACCAGTCAAGTGGACAAAGTTCACCTCGTTAGTATCATGCGATATTCCGATCAGACGCTTCGTACATAGTTTCATAATATTAGACAAGCAACTCCCATGACTGAAAGAGTGTAGTGGATTGACAACGGGCTAAATGAAAAACAGCTACTACTTAGGTTTTAGCAGTTGTTTTGTACAGCTCTCTGACATGTTTTGTGTCATACCGCATATTGTTTGGCATGTCTTGACGTTTCGCTCCACGTGCTTGGGATATTCAAATGATACAACCTGAAAACGCAGTGGAAAGCTATGAAATAGCAAACCTAGTGTTGATGAACAAATGGATATGCACGTGTGTAAGGGTGTCTCTGTGTCTGCACATGCGTACCTCCCTCCACAATTCCCCAGATGGTTCAGCAATTGGTGGGCCCAGCGTCGGGCCAAGCTAAGGCCTGAGGCTGTCTACACGCGCTGGGAGCAAGACATGGACCTACAGCCCCAGAGCCCACTTGGACTCTTTGATGAATACCTCGAGATGGGTACAATGAGCTCAGAGGATCACACTACGGAGTCAACGCGTTTTACTTTATTATAAAAAAACACACACAATTGGGTATCATTTGACTATATAGGCACGTGTGTACGGCCCCTGTGTATCTGTCGGACATTGTTGTGGGAGGGAAATTACCCACACTTCGGGTTGTTGAAGGCAGGGAGCACAGATGTAAGAGCTTAGATGTACAATACAACAATGTAATTTGCTGCACTGTCCTCTGCTGCTCACAACCCCACAACAACTGTTGCATGGTCACCCATCCAACCAATTTCCAGGCTCAGCTCTCCTTAACTTCTGGGATCTGATTAAATCTGATGCATACTGGGTGATTTGGCCATAGGCACCAATCTATGGATATACTGTAACACAATTGTCTTTGAGCATGCGCGTATGTGCATATGTACGGAGTTAAGTTTTAGAAACAATAGGAGCACATATTTACTCCTCTTGTCTGCTAACCAATGCAGCTACATTGGTCAGCTTGGGTTGACGTTTCTCCCCATAATATATATTTAAAACTCTGGTGCATCATGTCCACTGTGGTTAACTGCTGTGATTTGTTGGCATTTCAATCACAGTGCATATGCCTAAAAATGTGTGGTACGGTTAATGGAGTCCTCAATACAGGGTGTGATCTTGTCATTATAGCCACCTAGTGGTGGAAAATGCTGCAAAAGAAACCCAGGTGAACCAGAGCTGAGCATTAAAGATGGTAGTGGCTGGTCGCATCTCAGTGGCCAATGTAATGGACACGATAATTTTGTGAACAAATTATACGAAAATGTGATCATATTTTGGGGTCTCCTTTGACTAAAACACATTCAATGCATTGAAAACATGTTTTGTTTGCTTAAAGTAATCACAACATAACAGCATTAAGAGTCTATGTCTATATCCTGTTTCACTCATTATTCTATCCTTGCCCCCCTACCCATTCTCAAAATATACCCCAGTTATCCAATTCGGGTTTGTCACTCTCTTTGTGGCATCATTTCCACTTGCGCCATTGCTCGCACTGCTCAACAACATCATTGAAGTGCGGGTCGACGCGTGGAAGCTCGTAACAAAGATGAGGAGGCCTGTGGTTTCGCGAGCAAGAGGAATTGGAGCCTGGGCCGACATTCTGAGTATCGTTGCCACCCTCTCCGTAATCACCAATGTAAGTCGCCAGATTGTCCGCTCGCTTTCTCGCTCAATATCCCATCTTATGAGTGACATAACATGTCATGTTAGCCGTGTGGGTTCTTTTTACCATACTTCACCATTCTGGTCATGGCAGGTTTGAGAAGAGGTGTAGTGGGGGACTAGGAGCGGTTCGGGTATCACTCGTCACTGATGTTAGTCGTAGCTGGAAGTCAATTGCATGTGTGCTGAATTCAAAGTGCAGTGCACGAATCACTGCACCACCGCTCCTATCCACTCTCTCCCAAAATCGCAAAAGGTAAAGCCTTGCAATTGCTTGCTCATGTCACTGCTGGCAGAAGGGCCTCAACTAAAGGTAGCTCTCGAGAACCCCTCTACACGGTATTTGGCCTACTCTTCCATGATAACCAGACATGTTGTAAGATGTGGAATTACCTGTGCTAAAACAGTGATGAACCCATTTATATTGCGAATTGGACAGAGGTGGGGGAGATTTAAGAAAATGATCCATTGCTTCAACTGTTGTGTCAGGAGACTGAACTGACGACTGCCAGATTGCAAGTCCTTATATGCTAACCATTACACTCTGGCAGCAACCCCCCAAATTGTATTTGTGAAAATGAATGTAATTGTCAAGGTGAGATGTTCAGAAGCCTTGGTAAAATCATTGCATGCTAAGTGACTGCTATCGCTGTGCCTCCGTATGCTTATTCCACAGTCATGCATCTTGGCGTTCACAACGGACATCATCCCACGCCTGGTGTATTATTATGGATACTCAGCAGAGTATGGAACAGGTTCGCCTACAATGCATGGGTACACGGAGGACAGCCTTTCAATTTTCAAGATCAGCGACTTCAAGGAGCAAAATCATCCCAACATCCTGCCAGCCTGGTTTGATCCGGCAATACACACAACCTGCAGGTTTGTGCCATTCAGTGTCATGCCCAGCTATCGGGGGTGCCGTCCCTGCGAATGTGATGCACTGATCTCTGGGTGTGTTGTCCAGGTAGATGCGACATCCTTCTGGGTGTGGCGTCCTCCTGGCTCCGCCCCTTCCTGATTAGGCTCGTTCTCTTCCTCTTTTCACTCCGTGACTTTCCTTTTAAGACCCACACTTCCCCTAGGCCCCACCTCTGTTTAGGCCCTGCCCCTTACCCTGGACACAGGGTTTGGCTTAGTTGGGTAGTAAGGGGTTGTGGTAGGGTTGGGGGAGGAGTGTGCGTGGTGGGCGGGGACAGTAAAGGGGGTGGGGGAGGGGGAATTGGAGGGGGGGAGCAGTGGGTACGGGTGGGATGGCTTCACAACCAAAGTCCCACTCAGAGAAGTATAATAATAGATTGATATAAATTCTAGCTCATTCTTACCTTGCTAAAGAGTAATGTTATTTATTTATCTATCAATCCACGACTGCTTAATTGAGTCTCAAGATCCCTTTGCAGGAAGACTGCGCATTGGGATTCCAGTTTAAGTTGGTTTTATGCATGTGGGATGCAATAAGAGGTGCTGGAGAACCCATGATAATGAAATTAAGCTTAAAGGTCCACACAGACATGAAACCACTTGCTCTACAGCCATCTTCTGGTCACCTCACAGCACAGTTAGTTAAGAAATTGATGCGATCTAACAACCCTTTTCTCTAACGTTTTTGAATTGCTGACATACACAACTATAATCAATATAACCATATTGATCGATGTTTAATATAACCTTCCTTGACTATGACCAAATCACCACGAATGCAGCTGATCTTAGATTCCGGAAGTCAAGCAGGCTTGAGCCTTGTTCGTGCTTAGATTTATGATCACCATGCACAATGCAGGTGCAGTAGGCGACTGTGGAGCTAGGTTGTCAGCAGTGGGTAGTTCAGCAAAATTAACAGTTGTGCTATATTGCTCTCCCATTATCTTTAATCCCTGCCTTCACCAACCTGGCACGGACCAGCGTGAACCATGGTCAAAAGAGCCCCCACAAGCTGCACGTTGTGGGAAGGCCCTCTTTCAGAAGCGGATTTTTTAAAGGGCTGTGAACGCATATACCGTTTGTGCACAACCATACTTGTTCAATTTAGCGCCAACTCTACTTTCGAGGCACTTTGCTCAATATAGCCCATGCGTGCTTGTGGTTGTACGTGTGTAGGTATCCTGGTTATCGCTACCCACCGGATCATCCCCAAGCCTACTCCGTCACCAAGCAGTACTGGCAAGTACTGACGGCAAAGCTGGCCTTTGTCATTGCCATGCAGGTACACATCAACATGCACACACACATTCATAAACCCATTGAAAGATAAAGGTACAGCCCTCCAATTACTTGCTCATGTCACTGATGGCAAAAGGGCTCCTGCTATAGGGAGCTCAAGAGAGACCCTTAAGATGTATTTTAACTGCTCTTCCACACTTGTCAGACGTCTTGGGAAGATGTGGGAGTTCCCACACTGGACAGCACCAAACTCAGCCGACCAATTGACTGGATGTATTCCATTTACACTGCTAGGTGGATAGAGGCAGTGGAATGTAAAAAAAAACTTTCACCATTGTTTACACTGCCACGACCAAAGATCAATTCACACCCGTGACCTCTGGATTGCAAGTCTAGTGTGCAAAGCCTTACACTACTGCACCATCGTATAGACTCATCTGTGAGCAGTTGTTAAGGTCAGCAGAGCAAACCGTGATCATTGTCAATGGGTCATTACAGATAATGTCAGTAATGCTGTTACACCTCACAATTGCACAGTATTTCTGAGATCACAAATAATAGTGGTAATACAATACTCACTTTCATCATGCAGCAGACGATTCATGTTGTTGATGCAATTTGTCACACATAAGCATGTGTGCGTGTGGGTGGGAAGGGGAGCGGCTGCGTTGTTGTTTGTGAACTGCGCTACCAATCCTGTGTGACCGGAGTACTATTTCTGGCCACAGCCAACAACAGTGGAAAATATTAGAACCAGTGTTGAGCTTCCCTTAAGTTGATTCTGTCTTAAAATGAGTACTTGATGAAGTGTGTGAAAATCATCACTGGCGAGATAAAGGTGCACACCACCCCCGCAGGCACTGTGCCACCCTTCATAGATGCACTTGTCTCAGTCTGTGAAAGGCTACACAGGGAATCTTTGTAGTGGTGACATGGCCGAGTGTGTTTGCTGATTGTTGCGGTAATTTGCGGCTGCCCAGGTGAATACGGTGGGTGCATTAACTGCACATCATAAATGTTGCCTGCTGCATAGTGAACGTAAAAAACCCATTAAATAATAAAAAAGTGCCTCGGTATAATTTGCCAAATGTTCAAAAATTACTCAAATGACTTAATTTAATTTGGGAAAAACGACGTAACAATATAATATCCCTAGGCTGCAGGTCCCCGGAATAGTTGACCTGAGATGTAAAGCACTTTGAGATGCTGCCATATTATATTTAGTAAGCACCCTTTACATGCATATCCTGAAACTGAAAATCCTTTACCTGTGTGTGGACGTGTGCAGCACGTGGTGTTACTCACGAAGGCCTGCATTGCATACATCATCCCGGACACGCCATCCCATGTGCGCGCCTGCATGCGCCGCGAGCGCTTCGTCGTACAGACGATTCTGCAGCAGGCAGAGCTGGGCCGTCTCCGTAACACCCTCCTCACCGATGCCCCCAGCTCACCGCCATCGCCTCAATTCCACGTTGAGGATGAGCAGGCAGAGATGGGCCTGCTTCGCTGCTCGCTGCATAAGGAGTCTCCTGGCGTATCGCACCCACCCCAGCGGTGCCACATGGAGAATGAGCAGGCAGAGAAGACTGGTGACGACTCACTGCTGAAGGGATCCGAGGAGGAATCAAGCAGCGAGGATTCGTCAACTGTCTTCTACAGCATATAAATCTACTCTGACTTTTAAAGGAGGCTGCTATCCTAACTCTGTTTGCACGTGGACAAGGACATTGCTGTCGAGGACTATCTGTATATATATTAATAAATAGTTTATGATTCAACATGTCTCAATCATCTCATGTCTTTTCATACGAATCACGATGTGAATGAGGAAAACTAGAAATTATTGTTATTTTGTATATATTTTTAATTTTGGTTTAACACGTAGGCTTTCGGGCCCAATATCATCCATAGAGGTGTTTTTTGGGTTAGATCGCGTACATATTTAAACGTGTCGTTAAAACCCGCCACCACTCGACACAGCCAACTAGTAAGGGTTGTCACGGAAACAGAACAAGCCAATTCGTCACTGGTACTTTGGAGAGCCAAGCCACAACATTTACAATCGGAGTACGACGTTTTGCCAGTAATTACAACTAGCTTCATCAGGCGACAGCCAGATTTGTGACACTCTCGCGCAAAGTGGGGGGGGGGGGGGGGAGATTACCGAGTCAACGTACATTATGCATGTGCATTATGAGAGCCCTTTGATCTTGTCCTTCCTGTCTATTGTGTATTAAAATAGCCGTACCAATGGTAATCCCTATTGAAGTATGCTGCCCTTTATAGGCATGCATTTAAATAATGTATTATTTGTTGGCACCCGTGTTCAGCAGTAACAGAGCACACGTGCCAACAAGGACACTCAGTTGATTTTAATGTTGAAGTTCTGTGCAAAACTAGCTACTGCTGGCCAAGAATAATTCGAGAATCTATCGAAATTGAAAGAAAAATTTACAGTTCGGATAGCTATCGCCTTTGTGCTGTGTGGAAGCGACTCATCAAATAGTACATTAGATGAAACTCCGAGTACCCACTCAGGAGGTATAGTGGTAAAGCAGTGGAGGAAAAAAAAGCAAATTTTTAAATTTGCCCTTGTTGAATGATAGAGTCGATACACACAGCAAGCGAGATTAAGAAAGCGCATCGGAAGAAATAACGGAGTTGAGAGAGAGAAGACAATTGCCTGCTGGAAAAGGAAAGGCATTCCTACCGAGGGAGACAAGTTGACAAAGATTTTGATCATGGGAACCGGTGACGTGGCTCGATCTTCCCTATGTGCGCAACACGCTACCGAAAGAAAACAGAAAATCCAATTCAAAGGCTAAAATAAGCTCCATTTTTTGTATAATAGCCCGATAAACAATAACCCCATACATAGACTGAGGAAGAAAGGGAAGAGCCTGAACAAAGGGGAGGAGATTACGACGGAGATGGGTTGGAGGTGGAGAGAAGGGGAGAGGGGAGGCCGTAAAGGTGGCTGCACATTCAAGGAAAGCGGCATAGAAAGAGTTGAACGGGGACATGGAGACAACAGACAAAGGGTGGAGAAAGAGGAAGAGAGGATCTTTCAGTGCTCCCTACAGGAAACCCACAAAACTGAATTTCCTAAACTCGTGTCGCCTCCGTGACAGCAGCACCACCAACGCCAAAGACTCACGCTCCCCTAATCGATAATACTATCTCCATTGCCGACCAGCCACGAGATGGCTGCTCTCAACACCTCGGTCGTGGTGTATGCAACAAAAGACTTCCGGCTGGTGAGCAACCGGCCATTGCGAGGGTTGGAAATAAACTGAAGCACGGGGCGACTCCCACAACCTTCGGGTATTTCCCAACTGGATGACGTCTTGGGATGAAGCCAGAAGTAAGCCAAATCCACACTCAATAAATGGGACAAAAATCTCAGAGAAGCCTCCAGAAATGTCACAGGAGGCTCGGGTGTGAGAAACCAGACTCCATGTGGGGTCCTCCAAACCTTTGCCCTCCAGTTCATCAACATTTGTAAAAGCAGGACGTCTCAAAGGTACGTAGCATGGGTGAGGGACGATGTTGAGAACCACGTTCCGAGATTAGGCGCTTTGACAGGTTGGGGTCCGAGTAAACTTTTAATGGAGCTCACCCTACGACATTACGGATAGAAGGATAGTGTGCCGGCACAATCCGGACACCCTGCTACACCGAAACACTCTGCTGCATAAAACTCCCTGGTACAGCTAAACACTGGCACGATTACGCTCAAATACACACAAACTCTCGCTCGGCCAGTTGGTACACAGGTTAAAAGTTGTGGGGGACGCGGGCCCCCGGCTCCCCCCGCGGGGG